TATAGAAACTGAGTTTGTCCTGTTTTACTAAATGTTTGACGCTGGTTGCTTCTGTCGGTTCGATTATGGATTCTTATGGATGGTTTTTTTGCAATTTAAGGAAGCATATGAGGAATTCAAGCATGTTCTTCTTGCTTTTATATATGACAAAGAAGACCAATCTTCTCCTGTAGCAACCGAGGTGGGATACTATGTGTATTGTATACGCAGCTACGAACAATGATTCTTTTTATTTTTCTCCTATACTATACGTGTAGACTGAGGTAAATGGATGTTTGCTTTATGTTTTTCAGTGGTCTGAAAGGAGGAGGTTTGACATTGCCGGATTAGTTTCCACTGTCTTGAGACCCTATTTACATGCTTATGATCCGGTCTTCTCGATGACACTGAGATATTTAATAAGGTGTTGCCTCTTTGACTTTGGTTTAGTTGCTTGCAATCAATATTATTATGTTTATTGCGTGTGAGTGAGTGATTGAGTACCTCTTTGTGGGGATGCAGCACAGGCACTAGAGTCATTGTAGTTATCTTTTAAAGTTATCCCTGTCTTATGCAGCATCCACAAGGGCTTTTGTTTTCGTCAAGGAATTTCGTCGCCTATTTCAGATCTTACTCATAGGTTACTTCTAGAGGAGCGTGACGCCCCTGCAGCACCCCAGGAGAGCCTGTTTGAAGCACCTCCTTTTGATGAGGTGAGATTATCTACAATTTGAACATTTTTTCGTAGATGTTACAGGAGGTAAAATTAGAATTATCATATGGGTCAGCCTCTTAAGGGTGATAGAAAATCAATTAATAAAACCATCAATTACACTGCTAAGCATGTCTTTATTGATTTCATTCTTGTATTGGAAAACCAGGTGGACATTCAAGCTCTTGCACATGCTGTAGAGCTCACAAGACAGGGAGCAGTAGATAGTTTGAGATTTGCTAAGGGTGATTTATTTCAGGCGTTTCAGGTTATTAATTGCTTACTGATGTACTTATTATTATAATTACCTCAAATTTGATTTATTTATATATTACATTCATCAAGTGCATAATTCGTAGGAAAGTGGTGATGTATGGAGGCCTTTTCTTTTGCCACCTAGGTTCATACCTCTTAATTTTTATGCTAGACATACATTGTTACATATAAAAGGTCGTACCCAGTGCACAAGGCTCCCGCTTTACGCAGGGTCTGGGAGAGGTGAATGTCGGCTAGCCTTACCCCCATTTATGGAGAGGCTACTCCCAAGTCTCGAACCCGAGACCTACCGCTCATGGGCGAAGACACTTGCCATCGCACCAAGTATGAATGTATGAATGAAAAATGCGTATTTAAGGAGTAGGGACTGATCTGATTATTATAGGGGTAGAACTGATTTTGGTCTTGTGCACAATGCTTGCATGCTATTGCTTCCCTGAGAGAGTGCACCTAATGATGCCAATGCAAATTATCTTCCTGCTCATAAATCCTGTAAATCGTTTATAACGTTGTTTGAAATGTCATATATGGTTGGCTTGAATATTTTGAGTGCACTAATATCAAAACTTGTGCTTATATACTGCAGAATGAGTTATGTAGAATGAGATTTGATGTTACGATGCTCGACGAGCTGGTTCGTGAGTATTGCGTTTACAGGGGCATTGTGGATTCTGGTTTTGCAACTTCTGATGGTGAAACTTGTGAACTTTTTTCTTTCATCCTTATCTTCTAATGTTTTGTTGAGAGTGTGTGCGCTTGTTTTTTTTCATTTTAACTTGTCAGACTCTGACTACTACCGATCTACCTATCCAACGTAGTGTCTGGGGTGCAAAGCCTTTCCAAATCCTTGAAAGTTGATCAACCAGTGATTGGGCATTCTCCGTCAAGAGACTCTTCTCATGAGGTGGATTATGGTGCCAGCAAACATTCTGATGGTGAGTTTTCCGTGAGTAATGATAACCTAGGTGGTTCCCCTGGAAAGAGTTCTGATGTGACTAGCATGCAAGGTATGGATATTGAAATGCGTTATGTTTGTGAGCCATCAAGCAATAATGAAGATTGTAGCACCAGTGGATCACATCAGCCTGATAAACTGAGAGTTTCACAAAGAAGACCCAGTGCACCTGCGGAAAGAAGTAAACGCAAGCGATGGAGGGGAAGACAAGATGATATTGATTTTACTTCTGGCATTTCCTGTAATGAGATGAGTAAAGACTCTAAACAGCTTAGCACAACTGACCTGGTTTCCAATACGTATTCATCAAGGGAACATCAGGTTCTGTATTATTCGAATTACTTAGTATTGGTTAGTGTATTGGTTGTGATTTGACAATGTTGTTGCTTTGCAGGCTTCAGAATGCTTAAGTTTAGGCATTCACAGTTTGGACGATAAATATGAGATTCTGCTTGGGATGAAGGAACTAGCTAGCAAAGGAATGGCTGCGGAGGTTGTGGAAGAAGTTAATTCTATGGACCCAAAATTTTTTGTACAAAATCCTGTTTTGCTCTTCCAACTTAAGCAGGTACTTAGCTCATGTATTGTAAATAGCTGTGTTGAAAGTAATGGTTGTAAATCATACAGTATTATACAAAACTTTACATTCTGATATTTTCACCAACTGTAGGTTGAATTCCTTAAGCTTGTAAGCTCCGGCGATCATTCTAGTGCTCTGAAGGTTGCATGCTCTCATTTAGGTCCTTTAGCTGCAAGTGATCCTGCTTTACTGAAACCCTTGAAGGAGACTTTGTTAGCACTGCTCCAACCTAGTGAAGATGCACTTGGGAAAGGCTTGCCCTTATATGCTCTTGCAACTTCACTCCAGGTATGCCATGACTTGCTGTCATAATTCACGTTAATAGGAACTGCAGATGCTTTATCTTTATCAATCGTTTCAGTTCTTGTTTTTATCCTTTATTCTGTACTCTAAAAAGAGCTTTAAGGTTGCAAATGGTGCTCGCTGCTGAACTTTGTTTCTACTAGGTTTATAAGATAACTACCATGAAATCGTTTTGCTCTTTGGATATAGTCTTCAATGTACCATGCATTAAGTAAGAAGTAAACATTTGCTTCTGTCTGGGATAGGTTGCAATTGGGAGGAGGCTTGGCATTGATGAGCCGCAGCTTATGAAAATAATGAGAGCAACCGTTCACACACATAATGAGTGGTTTAAACTTCAAATGTGTAAAGACCACTTTGAAAGTCTATTAAAGATTGATTCCTTGAAAGAAGTTAATACTCCTTTGCTTGCTGCTGCCGCTGCATCGAAGTCAAATGCAGATAGTTGCTCTAATGGGTCTTCCCAAGTTACAGTATCTTCAAGCACCAGGATGGTGGAAGATGGTAGCAGCCTGACTCAAGTGTCATCTAGAGATGTTGTGTGTGATGAAAATGCAATACTAAAAGTAATGGTGAGTTTTATGAACTGAACTTGCACATCTATATTTTTCTAAATTGTTGCATGTGGAAGCTTATTCAATTTTATTCGTAGTGAATTTTCCCTTTTGACGAACGTGACAGTTTCACTTCCTTGGGCTCATCAATGATAAGCATCTATAGATATCTATCTGTTGCACGTTGTTGTCACTACCGTGTTCAGTCAGCCGTATGGCTAAGATTTCTTATAATCCAATTCCACTATTTGCACTTGCATAAATATACTTTTGACTGCGACTAGACTATGATAGTCGTCTCTTTTTAATGTAAACCACATCTTCTAAGTTCGAACACCGGTTCGTTCACTTAAAACAAATCTTACTGTTGTGGATGGTTGCAGGAATTTCTAGCTTTGCCCAGGGCCGATGCTATCCATCTTCTTGCACAGTACAACGGAAATGCGGAGACAGTCATTCAGCAGATATTCGCTTAGTTTGTATTGTAGCCGGTTTTGTAGCTACATATAATTGAATTTTGCTTATTATTTTATTCAATTTATGCATAAAAGAGTTTCCAATTTAGGTAGACAGACATACACGTAGTTGAAACAGATGTACGGATACGGTAGCGTTTCTTGTTAACACTTACACGGGCTGTTCTTGTACATTATCATCGTATGGTGATTTATGTCTTAAAAAAGCAGCCATTAATAAAACACTGCTGGTTATTCTAAAGAGGAATAAAGTTCTTGTTGGATGGTTGGATTGATTTTGGGATTTTCTATGGTGCTATTGTGTATCGGGTGCTCTGAAATTTTTGACTATTAGATCTATGAGATAAGAAAGGACAAAAACTGAGATCTAATGGTGAAAATGCCTAGAGTATCCTATAGAATTTTTGCTTGTTTTTGTTCTGTTGGAAAAAGATAAATATTATGAAATTTCACTCAAACAAAAGGTTAAAATACAATTAGCTTCCATCCAGCTTGAAGAACGAAGACACAGTTGGAGCCTCACCCCTTGTTTGTGTAATAGAGGCTGCTGTGGTCTGTGGATGATTATTATTCTAAGCCCCATTTTGAAATGTCTTTTTTTCTTTCAACTGTTTTATTTTAAAGTTAAAGCAGTTAAAAAGTGGTTGGTAAAAATAAAATATTCTGCTTATTTTAAAAGCAATGGTCTCCTGTTTGTAGGTTGCGTTTAAAAGCTGTTTTAATAAAAATAGGAGTTCAGTCTTTTAATGAATATTTTTAATTTTTGTAATACGCTCATTAATTTTAAAATATGACATTATTTATCATTTTAGACACATTTTATCCTTGGAGAACAAAGTGACCACCACTACCTACCCTAACCTCTTCCACCGCAATTGCCGTTACCACCACCAATGCTGCCACCACCACCCCACCACAACCGTGCCACCACCACCCTCCACAATCGCGCCACCACCACAACCATACCCAACAAATACCTCTTTTTGCCGGAACCACCACCACCACTGTCACAAACATTATCTTCGCCACTGTTGTTGTCGTCATCGCTCACACTTCTATGTCCATTTTTTTCATTATATTCAATTATAGTACTTTTAGTTTAAAATTTACTAAACGCTTTTACACTGTTTTTCATATTCACAACTTTTAAAAATAATTATTAAATGTTCAATTGCTTTATTTTTCAGTTAATTATTCTTAAAATACAACAGAAGTAGTTTAAGAAAAAAAAAATTACATCAATCCCAAATTGAACCTAAATTTTCAATTTTTTTTTTTTTAAAATGATTCTAATAGAAAATATACAATTTACTGTGATGATTTTGACTCCCGAAGCTTCTTTTCATCCGACAGTAACTTTGCAAACCTACAAGCACGCAGACGATGATGATGAGTCCATGACTAAAAAATTCAGTAAAAATGTTTGATTCTGCATTAGCAGACACCTAAAAGTGATTTTTCTCTTTTTTCTATCTTCTCTGCCCTTATCTTTATTTATAGTTATTGAATTAAATAAATTAAACAAAACTAATGACCATGAATGTGTAAGAAAAAAAAATATATGAAAATCACTTCCTTCAATAAAATTAGTGAGAAACACTTTAAGGATCAAACTATGAAAAAGACTCGTAGTGTAATTAATGATAGTACATTTCAAGGGGTTCTCTTTACTTCAATGTTACAAGTATTTTAGTCATTAGATTTAATTTTCACAAGTATTAGCTCTTCTATTTTCAATCACAGTCACTCATTGTACCACTCATTGCTACCGACCATTGAAGAAAAATAAAAGTGCTCAAATGTTTTCTACTATAAAATAAAATTTTGAAGGGGTTTGCTAACAATCCCAATATTAAATTTGTGGTTACCTCTGAAGTGCTTCTTCATTTGTGCCCTCATCTTCAACTGGTTCATAGAGACAAGTATCCAAATTCACGCGACAAACTGGTTTCTTGAGTAATTTGTTTCCCACTTCCACTAGATTTTCCAAGTTTTCCCGTGTAGCTTTATCAACTGAAGCTACATCTCCCTCTAGTGTGTCCTCCTAGTTTCCCAATATTCAACAACAAATTACACTGTAAATCATTTATACATATAATTATAGGCTCGTTTATACCATTTCGTTTTTTGTTTTTCGTTTTTAACCAGATATTATAAACTTACGTCAATTCTGAGGTAGTTCTGTTCAGAACGGAGAGCTTGGAAAACCGCAGAGTTATGGTAATCAACCATATCGCAAGTTGCTTCATCAAAGCAATCCAACAAAGGAGTTGACCCATTAGTGTACAACCAGCTTAACATTCCATTTTGAAGCTTTCTTGGCATTGTATTTGAGTTCACTCCTATCCGAACCCGTTCCCAGTGAAATCAGTAGGAAACGATCATACAAGTCCTTTGGCTCAATCTCCAAGTAATCTTGATTCTGGCTCGTAATTTGTTTTATCACTTCACTAATGGCAATCAATGACTGCAATTATATGTAAAGGCAAGCAACACAAATAATTTTATCAACAATGCTACACTAGCCAAATTTGAATAACAACTTATCACGTATCAAAATATACATGACTATATATCTCTTACTAGTTCGATAATATTCTCTCATCAAATTTAAATTGCTAAAATAAAGTTTGTATTGTTAGATTGTGAATCTGACCTATGTATTCAAACAAAAATCAATTCGAAAAAGTGTCCATTCCATATTCTTAATATTGTTAGACAACGCGACAACGGAACACCACTCTTACTTAAGTTGCATTGGTTATAATAGATGTAGATCAAATTAGGGTTTTTTCTTATCATGAAAACTTTACATTCTGCAAATTGTTGTGCAAGAGCTTCACCGGATTATTCGCGGCTATGCCACCATCGATGAGGTTGAACTCCTTGGATTCTCCTTGTTGATCCTTGTTCTCAAAATAGTATGCAGGAAGGTAAGTTGGTGCTGCTGAGGTACCAATGCAAATGTCTGAAAGTCTAGCATTCAGCACTGGACGGCTTGACACCTTGATCATGAGAATAGCACTTAGATTACTAATGATTAGTTGGTTCATGAAATTGTTGAATTCTCATATAATTAGTTTATATATATATATATATATATATATATATATGTATGTATGTATGTATGTATATTGAGTAAATTAACAACCTGATAAGACGAAAATATGACAGGCAGAAGTTTCTTGATGTCAAAAGTTGGGACAACCAGGTTCGTCAAGGTTTGGTCCAACCTTTTGTCTCCTATTATCTCTCTTACAAGCTTGTGCAAATACTTTCCATCATACTTTGGTCCTGTTAGAGCTTTCACTAGATCATTAACTGTGGCACAAAGTCCACTAGTTCATGAGAAGCCAAGAGCAGAAAAGGAGCGTTAATTAATTAACTTTTGTTAGCATGAATACTATAACATGTGCTGAGCTAAAATTGTTCATAATAATGTTCTTTTGCTCAATTTGTGTTGTCAGCATGTCAAATATAATCAAATCGATCAACCGTTCAAATTGACAGTTTACCAACATAAACATTTTTGTTGATAAACACGTAAAAGATACATTTTCCAATGTTATTAATTTCAACAATACTACCTTGATCGTGGGAAAATTTTAGGGCAGTTGGAAAGGTAAAATGGGACAATGTCCTTTGCAGCGAATAATGGTCTGTTGTTTTCGTTTGGAGCTACTAACATGGTCGCAATTAGACCGCCTGTACTTGTCCCAGAAATCACGTCAAAATAATCTGCAAGCCTTGCATCTTCACCATCTAGTTTCTAAGTAATAATAATTAATACCATTCCATTAGCAATGTAGTTATGTAAAAGTTTTTATATCTAAAATGAAAGTGTTACAAAACGAGCTCTTAGATTAGAGCGCATAATATTCTTAATTTGTTACCTGAAGTTCAGATTCAAGGTAAGCGAGAAGAGCACCAGGGATGATCCCTCTAATTCCTCCCCCATCTATACTGAGAATCGTTATGAGGTTTCCATGTCTTGGGCTTGAGCTTTTTTTTTCCATTTGTTGATGAAACAGAAAATATTTGGTAGGAGTTTTGTTGATGCTATAGAAGTAGAGACAAAGCTTGGAGATAGATCAATATATAGATCAAGATTACCTTGCTAGTACTTGTTGCAAATTTAATTTAATTTAAATCAAATGATTAATTATCAAGAAAATTTTGATAGTTCAAATTCAAACGGAAACGATACAATCTTTGCACAAGATATTAAACTGTCTTTTAATAGAAAGACACATTTTCCAAATGGTCACTTCCACTTCTATGGATAGGCTCCTTTTCGTTGACCCACGAGTCAAAATTCGTTTTCATATCTAATTACTTGACGAGGAAGAAAACTGAACAAATTCACCAAAACATAAAGTAAGCCATGTCATTTGTTTTCTTACTTTTGTTTTTAGCCTAAAACCACATGGATTTCAGTTAAATTGACAAATAATTAGTATTAAAAATTATTTCAGTTTTGGCAGAGTCCTCGAAACCTAAGCCATGTGGATTCAGAACCGGCAGTTGCACGGCAAATATCGCAAATTGAATTAGTAGAATCACTGTTTTAAAAATTTTCGCCTAGGTGTTAGGCGGCTGGTTACTGTTTTAATTAATTCCTAGACATTTGAAAGTTAAGAAATGACGTCTAGATTTGCTTAAGTGCCCGCCTAGACCGCATAGGCACCTGCTTAACTCGTCTAGACCCGCTTAGGTCGTGTCACTTTAGACAGAAAATAGATAACTTTTATTTTGCCTTTTATCTTTTTCAATAAATTGTAAGAAATTTGTTAAATACTTAGATGAACACACATTATATGCTTATTCTCCATGGTTTAATTATGTTCTAAACATTATAATCTCTATGTTATTCTATTTTGTAGTTTATGTATCCCAATAAAATTATGTATTTTTTAAATATAAACAAACATTTATTTATATGATATATAATAAATTTACTACATCCGCCTAGTCTCCCACCTAGGCTCCGCCTAGTCACCTAAGCGCTAGGCCTCTGTCTGCCGTCTGATTAGTATCTAGCATCTTTTAGAACCTTGAGTAGAACAATGAGTGTCCGAATTACCAAAAATTAAAATCACAAATCCAAGAGATTTTGTCATTTGATAAGTTATCTAAGTAAGATTAACCAAGAAATTAGGACAACAAAGTCATGACTCATGAATGATGAGTCGTGCTCACGCAAGATTATTTAACAAATATTGTGTTAATAAGCATCCGGGTTTAATCCGATAGCGATTACCTATCAATAAAATGTAAACCCACACGAAATTAATATGAGGTAGGTAATGAGCTAATGCTGTAAGAAATCTCAGGGTTGATCTTGAGAGGTTGGGAAGTGTAAGATACAAAGTTTAAAAACCAAATTGGGTGTATCATTTGGATCACTTTGAACACTTGTATCTTTGGACTCTAGTGTGGGAATTAACAAGGATTATCATAGGCAAAATCAGTCAAATTTCCTACCCATATAATATCATATCCCATTTAACAAGTATTATCATAGGCAAAATCAGTCAAATTTCCTACCCATATAATATCATATCCCATACTTATTTGGGATGGAATCAGGTGGCACTTGATGGATGCAGTTAGACACTAGATCTTCAAAAGAGGGAGAGATTTGAACGGAATCATCGTCATTGTGACATTTTAATTTAATAAAATATGTCATGTGTGAAATTCTTATAATATAATATTACATTATTAAATCAGAATGTCAAATAGCGATAAACCTGTTTCATATAAGGTGATTTCTTTCAAATGATTATATGTCTTGTTGATGCACAAAACCGGAGGTCTTGGAATAACGTAAATCCGACCGTGAATCCGCATGAAAGTAAATAACACAAGATGTATCGTGGTTCGCCCCAAGGTTTGGGCTACGTCCACACTGATATTGTATTTCTCTGAGAGGTGAAGGGAGTGAGGGAGAGAGCTTCTGAGGGTGAGAGAGCTCTTCCCATGGCCTAAGAAAATGGCCTCCCTCTTGTGAGGGTGAGGAGTCCCTTTTATAGAATAAGGGCTCCTCACTTATTACATATTTGCCCCTTCATTTATTACATAATTACATTTGAGTCCCCCGAGTATTTATACGAGATCTAAATACGGATGCCCTAAGTATGGTATAAACAGTAGTCCCTTAAGTCTTTAGTCAAGAGAGTATTTTGGCTGGAGACTTGAAATTCAGTCCATGTGTGGGCCGAAGTAACTAGATGTCGTCTAGAACTGATACTCGATATGAGGCGGTGCCCAATTTGAAATGATGCTCAACCAGAAGTAGCACATGTTGCGAGGCTGCTCTGCTTGTGGCTTATGTTGCCTTGGTTGGCTCGACTTGTGGCATTTGAAGGTGAGGGGGTCCCTTTTATAGAATAAGGGCTCGTTCCTCAATACATAAGTGATAGGCTAAAAGTGATGCTCGCGGTGAGGCAGTTGCTCAGTTGGCGGCGATGCTCTCTAATGAAGGTGAGGGAGTCCCTTTTATAAAATAAGGGCTCGCTCCTCAATACATGAATAATAAGTGCTCTCTAATGAAAGTGGGGGAGTCCCATTTATAGAATAAAGGCTCGCTCCTCAATACATAAATAATGGGTTAAGTCCCCCAAATATTTTTTATGAGGCCCAGTTGATGCCAAATATATGGTACATAATGTAGTCCCCCAAGTCTTCGGTTAATAGAGTATATTGGCTGGAGACTTCAAATTGAATCCATGTATAGGCCGAAGAGGCGGTTGTTCGGAGGCGGTATTTGTATACTCTGCACTGAAGCTTTGTAGGTGAAGCTTTGCAAGTGAAGCTTTGAAGCTGGAGCTCTGTAAATGAAGTTTTTGAAGCTAGAGCTTTTGTAAATGAAGCTTTTGAAGCTAGAGCTCTGTAAATGAAGCTTTTGAAACTAGAGCTTTTGTAAATGAAGCTTTTGAAGCTAGAGCTTTGTAAATAAAGCTTTTGAAGCTAGAGCTTTTGTAAATGAAACTTTTGAAGCTAGAGCTCTGTAAATGAAGCTTTTGAAGCTAGATCTTTGGAAATGAAGCTTTTGAAGCTGATTGACATGAGTGATGCTCATGAATGTTTATGTTGATTGATATGAGTGATGCTCATGGATGTTGACATGAGTGATGCTCATGAATGTTTATGTATAATTGATATGAGTAATGCTCATGAATGTTTATGTATGATTGACATGAGTAATGCTCATGTATAATTTGGGAGTACTGGACGTACTTTTGATAACCTGGTTAGTGGTAATAGAAGGACTGGCTCTTTTGGGCATATGGGCATTCGCCCTCCCCATAACATTCCAGCCCATTTATTTTGGGCTTTGCCGTTTTTATTTTTATTTTTTATTACCCTCTGATGGGGTTTTTACATATGTCTTCGAAAGATAAGAAAAATAAATCACATCATACAAAAAATAAGAAAAGTAAATCATCATTCTGGTGGGGTGTTTATTCCTTATTTTTTCTGTCTGCTTTTGTTTCCCACTCCATTTCCAGACATCCTTTTGCTTTTGCTTTTCTCTTTTTGCTTTTGCTTTCTCTTTGCAGGTTTACAGCATGGGTGAGCAATGACTATAAACCCATTTCCTTTTCGGCTTTTCTCATCTCCATACATCATTTTTTTAGAAGTGGAATCTTATCTTGTTCTGTGTTTGCCATTTTTGTATGCTGGTATACCAAATCCACTGCTCTGGGACACGTCATAGATCTCACCCTTGATAGCCATGATTTTTGTACTAGACCAGAGTCTTGGTGGCTGAGGATGAGCTTCTGCTGCAGTAGCTGGAAAGGCTCTTCCTTTTCTTCCTCGCCTCGGATTTCTTGAGTATGGGACAGAACGTTGCCACGAAAGTGTGAGCGAGAGCGGCTGGGGAGAATTCCATAACTGCTACTGACCGCAGTTTGGCTACGGGCATTGACTGAGACGAATGATGGCGGGAAGCAGAAAACGGGAAGTGATTGGGGAGATTGGATAAGGCTAACCCAACAAACTGCACATGCTCAGGATAAAGCCAACTCAATAAACTGTACACTCCATGCATTCATATAATCAGTCACAGAGGTGACCCCAACATCTCCACCCATGGCAACACCAGAAGGAAACCAGTCCCGTCTGCAACCTTCTCTCCCACTTTAACATGAAAGGCAAAGCCCAAATGGCTGTTGCAACATATTGGCAACCTAGATTTCGAAAGTTAACAGAATTCAAGCAATTTACACACTTGAAAATCTTCTGGACCATAACGATTGCGGAGTTTATAGATCTACAAACTTGAGGGAATATAAAATAATTAGACCTGAGAAAGAAATAAAGCACATGAAATTCTCCAGATTTGCGAATTAGCGAACTTAAATTCTCGGTCGGGCAGTGGGCATGACGGACGTTCTCTCTGAGGCGCGCTGCGGATTCGCTCTTGAGGGATGTCTATATCTACTTTCTCTCTACTTTTTGCTTGTTGGTCCGGATCGGAGTTCAGTGGGGAAATGGGGTGCTGCGTTTTGAGGTCGCAGGCCAGGCAGAGATGGCGTTTTTCCCGTTGAGAAAAGATGGGTTTTCCTGAAGCATCTTCTAAAACCCAATCAGGTCGCCAGACTGAGCGCAGCCATGGAGGGTAGTAGGCTTGGTGGATCTTGACCGTTGATCTGCATTTTTCCCGTTAAGAAGAGATGGGCTTTGTGGTTCAATTGTTGCATAGAACAAAGCTGTTTGGGGAAGAGTCGGCGTCGAGGTTCCGCCATTAGAGAGAGATGAGAGGAGTTTCGATGACTCGGGCATCGGGAGAGAGAAATTGGTCGACGGATTTGATACAAATGGGAGATTTGAAAGTTCTGGAGAGCCTGCGAGTGTTGGAGATCGCTTGCATGGCTTTGGAGGACCGAGTCGAGGCCGAGTTAGAGGCTCTGATTGAACTCGGCGAGTTTTAAGAGAGAGAGAGAGCGTTTTGTGTTTGTGTCTCTGTGTGGGTTTTGTGGATCCACAACGGAGGTGAAAATTGAGAAAGGACCGACATAGCTTTACGTGTCGATTCCCACAGACGGCGCCAAATGTTGATGCACAAAATAGGAGGTCTTGGAACAACGTAAATCCGACCGTGAATCTGCATGAAAGT